CTGGTGGGAGGGGCCAGGATCAGACCGACTTCTGCCCCGAGGGCTTCGGCCTCCTGGCCGGGCCGTCTGCTTGGACCCCTTGCAACCGCGGTCCCCCGAGGCCGGATTCTCCCACTTCCCCTTTTCAGAAGGAAGCGGGGAATCCTTTTTCAGCTCTCGCCAGAGCTGATGTCTGCCCTTAATAATTACACCCGCTTCCTCCCAGCTTGGTAATAGTATTCAGGATAACTGTGACCTAGAATTTTCGAACGCACATTACTTTGCCCGCATAAGCGCCAATGCCATAGAGAGGGGCATGACCAGAGGTCGGGACTCCATTCGGGATGGTCAGGTAATGAAAGGGCGGCGAGCCGATTGTCAGAATAAGGCAACGTCACGTTGTCATTCAAAAACAAACCCTCTTAAAATTGTTTATGTATTTTTTAGTTCATAAAATGGTCCGTCGAGCATCTTTCCCAGTCAAAAACATCACCACAGCTTTACGGGGGCTTTTTAAGTGGCATCATATTACGTACCTAGAAATTATCCTCGCTGCCACTCAGTACTAATGCTGCTTCTTGAAACGTTTCACGCCACCCTTTGGTTTTCCTGCTTTTGATAATGAGTTCAGAGAAATATTTCTCTATTATGAGAAAAGCTACAGCAATTTGAGGATAAAAAAGCAAATGAAACGGCTTCAATGATAAACTGTAGGGTCTGGTGGGAAAACACTTGGATGGAATAGACTTGGTTTCAAGATGTCAGGAGATGCTCAGCTTCAGTCAATGGCTGTCCTGTTAGAATTGGCCCGCGTTGTCAGATATTTTGATCTCTAAAACTAGAGGCCCCATGCATGAAAATTCGTGCAAGAATAGGTCTTCCTTCCCCCAGCTGCCAGCACCGGCTTCCCTCTGGCACCTTTGACCCAGGCTGGCTTCCCTCCTCCGGCCACCTGCAGGCACCCGGACCTGGGCTGGCTTCCCTCCAGCTCAGGCTTTGTCAGGAAGGACGTCCGGAATGACATCTGGTCTAATTAGCATATTACCTTTTTATTATTATAGATGAGCCAGAAATCTGGACATTACAGACTATTTCCATTTAAAATAATGGCTCAAAGTACAGGCTAACAAAACAAGTTATAGGCCAGGTGCAATCTTCGGCCAATATTTTGCTATCTTTGGTCTAAAAAGGGACTTATTTTGTTACTACTGTTCTCCATGCTTATAACAGGTTCCCTCACATATTTGGTCGTCAATGAATGTGTTGAATAAAAGAAAGTGTCTCCTTACAAAATTATTATGGATCAAGTGGTGGTGATTGCATAAGACATTTCTAGAGAGAGATGAAAATATTCATTGAGCACCTGTTATATTACCACACGTAAAAGTACATTTTCTCATTTAATGCTTCTACAGTCCTACTTAGGGATTTACCCTCCCCTACTTTATATGAGGAAACAGGCTAAAAGAGATTAAATCACTTGCCCCAGACCTTAACAGACAGTAAATGAAAAGCCAATGGCCTCTGACGCAAGTTTAAGTTTACTGATACGCTGTTTGAGCAAACCCATTAGTTTTCAGTGCATAGTTTAGCTGCCTGTCTGAGAATTGGAGCATATTGGAAAATGAAGCATGTCTTCCAAAGTTTTGAACCACCTAAAGCACTTCTGTATCTGTATTTGTAATTTGATAAGGCTTTTTGGAGACGGTGATATATTTTACCTAGTGATTAATAAAGGGGAAAAGGGAAGGATGCTGATGTTTATTCTGAACTCTCTGCCAGACCTTTTACAATCCATTAACTAATTTTTGTAATGACCCTGTGAAATAGGCTTGTCCTCATTTTGCAGATGAGGAAATGAAGCTCGGATTAATCCATCTTTTCCCGCCCCACCCTCCGCCCTCACTCCCCACCCACTGTCCTCATCCATAGGTGCACGATTTTTGTCCAGTTTCTTCCCGCATCTCCCATTCCCCTTTCCCCGCCAAGAATAGTCAGTCCATTCCCTTTCTATGTCCCTGATTCATTATAATCACCAGTTCATTCTGTACATCAGATTATTTATTCACTTGATTCTTAGATTCACTTGTTGATAGATGCATGTTTGTTGTTCACAATTTGTATCTTTACCTTTTTCTTCTTCCTCTTCTTAAAGGATACCTTTCAGCATTTCGTATAATACTGGTTTAGTGGTGATGAACTCCTTTAGCTTTTCCTTATCTGTGAAGCTCTTTATCTGACCTTCAATTCTGAATGATAGCTTTGCTGGATAAAGTAATCTTGGTTGTAGGTTCTTGGTATTCATCACTTTGAATATTTCTTGCCATTCCCTTCTGGCCTGCCAAGTTTCTGTTGAGAAATCAGCTGACAGTCGTATGGGTATTCCCTTGTAGGTAATTGAGTCTCTTTCTCTTGCTGCTTTTAAGATTCTCTCTTTGTCTTTTGCTCTTGGCATTTTAATTATGATGTGTCTTGGTGTGGTCCTCTTTGGATTCCTTTTGTTTGGGGTTCTCTGCGCTTCTTGGACCTGTAAGTCCATTTCTTTCACCAGGTGGGGGAAGTTTTCTGCCATTATTTCTTCAAATAGGTTTTCAATATCTTGCTGTCTCTCATCTTCTGGCACCCCAATTATTCTGATGTTTGTACGCTTGAAGCTGTCCCAGAGGCTCCTTACACTATCTTCGTATTTTCGGATTCTTTTTTCATTTTGCTTTTCCGGTTGGGTGTTTTTTGCTTCTTCGCATTTCAAATCTTTGGCTTGATTCTTGCGCTCCTCTGGTCTGCTATTGGGTGTCTGTATAATATTCTTTATTTCAGTCCGTGTATGCTTAATTTCTAGTTGGTTCTTTATCATAGCATCGAGGGTCTCATTAGTTTTCGTGACTCTCTCCTCAAGTTTATTGACAGCTTCTAGCACATTTTTGCAAGCCCTCAAAATTGCGATTTTTAGCTCTATATCCTCCATTTCTGTCATGTTTTTTTGTCTCCGCATTTTTTATGCTTTCTTGGTGCACCCCCTAGTGGTCTTTGTGCGCAGTCTTGTTCTAGTTGAGCCTTGATTGTTGTAGTTAATACTAGAGGGATTTGACCACCAGGCCGACTGGCTGTGTGAATCAGCTGTGTCTGCCGCGGAAAACTTCTGTCCTCTGGGGAGGTGCTAATCTAGCCTTTGCCTGAGGCTATCCGGCAAATGGCTCTGCGCAGGGCTTGGGCGGGGCGGGCTCAACAGGGCGGGCGGAGGGAGCCGTTATGGTGCCCTCAGTCCTGTTCCCAGAGGCTCTGCTTCTCAGAACCCCCGGAACCGCTGCAAACCTCGGAGGGAAAGCTGCCTTCCAACTGATGCCAGACACTCCCGCTTCTCCCGTTTGGGTCCGAGTCCCCAGCGATTCGCCCGTATCTGGAGCTCAGAGTCTGAGACTCCCCCCTGACCGAAAACGACAACCGCGCTCTCAGCCACCAGCCCGCTTTGCGCGCGCACCTCCGCACCTGAGTTTTTTCCACACTGCGCCTCCTCTGAGCCTCGGTGTGCTGTTATTTTTCCTTCTAGTTGAAGAGTCTCTCCTCAGCCAGCCTTCCTGTGGTTCTGGGTGATGTCCGTTCCGTCTTTTAGTTGTATTTTTGAAGTGGTTGTTTGCGGCAGCAGTCTCCGGTGTTTACCTATGCCGCCATCTTGGTCTCTCCGGATTAATCAATCTTTTAATAGTGAATTAGGAGACCTTCTGAAGTCAGCCTGCTCCCAAACTCTTGCTACTTGACTTCACACTATATATTTTCATACTCATTTGTTGTGAGGAAATGAAGCTCGGATTAATCCATCTTTTATTAATAGTGAATTAGGAGACCTTCTGAAGTTAGCCTGCTCTCAAACTCTTGCTACTTGACTTCACACTATATATTTTCATACTCATTTGTTACCCAAGTCTTATTCTATGACCACCATTTACCTATAAGAGTTCAGTAGACACATTTGATGCGTTGAGTCCAAATTAAGATCTGGCTCGTATATAATACTCACTAATTATGTGGTTGTTTCTCCAGAGGGCAAGAAAGCTGCAAGGTTGACTTTTATCCTAAACCATTTATAACTATGGACTTGCCAGATGAGAGCCAGTGGGATGAAACCACTTGCAACTTGGCTGCTTGTCAGCACCCGCAATGCTGGGCTACTATCCGCCGCATTGAGAGGGGCCACCCTCGAATCCTGGGCTCATCCTACAAAACTTCTCTGGATGTTAACGGTGAATTAGTCAGCCCGTCTCCTCCCTTACAAGATCTTTGAACTATTTCTCTTTGGCTCCCTTCTAACATGTCACATGTTTTCATCTTGTTTGCTTTCTCAGACAAACTCCCCGTGCTCACCATTGTAAACCTCTCAGATTCCTGCTTCCAGGCCAGGAGGCGTCCTCATGGTCATTTACCAGGACTTACCTTCACTAAGCCTCACTCTTTATT